GTGCTCCGAAGAACCCACAAGCAATCGGCAAGTTGGAATTTAAGGATGATAATGGCGACCGTGAATATTTTTTTTACAAACCTTTATGGGTTAATGAGCAGAGTACCACATACAATTCCTTATGGACAATTGATCATAACGATAAACCTAGCAATGCATGGGCTGATGTTTGGGCTACAGTATATTGGGCATGCCAAAAAGAAAATTGTGCTTCTGAATATGTACACTTACGGGTTTGGGCCCCCTAGTTTTTATATAACAAAATTTATCATAAATTTTTCAACAAATTAATTTCTGCTAATGCTTTTTACAAACTAAACCCTTTATTGGTTTATTTTTTGTTATTTATTCCAGCTTCATTTTATCATCATGAAATTTTGTCTTTAAATTTTAAATATCTTAAAATTTTGTCATTACATTATTAATACATAATTTTCATAAATAAAGTTATGTGTGTTCGGCGTGAGCCTATTATTCCTTCTAAAAAGGTTACATTGCTAGGTTTAAATTTAAAATGCTGCTTTAACATACTAATTGATAATCAATTTTAATACTTTTAATTAATCTGATTTAATAATCACTTTTCATTAATTTTAATAAATTTTAATCAATATTAATTGCTGATGGCATGATATTAAGCGAATAAAATGTGCAAGAATAAATGTAAAACAATAATACTGCGATGACTACAGTTATCTCCCTTGCTATAATATCCTATAAAAAATTCCGGTACATTTCATAGGGGCACGGTTTAGAAAATTGAAAAGAACTTGAGTAGTATCCTGAGTATTTAATATGTTGATCCTTATTAAACTTATATTGAAATTCTGTAAAGAGCAAGCTCTTTATAATACTCTCCCCATAATTTGTACTCGGTATTACTTAAGAAATTTGGTTTCTGGAACAATACCGTGTGCAGTGTTGTACATTGGACGTGTCCACACTATGTCCAATGTCCAACGTCCAAGATTGTCTAAAATCGTCCAAGCCTATGTCCAAATTTTAAATAATCAATGAAGTTAAAAAAATATATAATTATATATTTTGTTAGGTGCTGGATTCATTTATGAAAAAATTAAAATAGATTATCTTAATAAAATTTTGAGTAATTTTAATTTGAAAAAATGTCCAAAAGTGTCCATGTAACAATACTGACCATGGGTACTGTAGCCACTTATACTTGTTTTTATAAAACCTACCCTAAATGCTAACCTTAACCCTAAAAAAATGCTAGAAATGTGCACCCCAAAAATTTGTATTTAAATCTGATTTCATTTTAATCTGTCACAATTATTAGATTCAACTAAATTGAAAAGAGTGATAAAAAAAAAACCTTATAAATAATTTAAATTTTTAAGACCATACAAACTTATACAATTAGCTTTCATATTCCAGACGGGTCAGTCAGGTTGAATTTAGAAATTTAAATTTTTTTAATATATCGGCCAATAAAAACACTCATGTGTAATCATGTGATCAAACCACATAAATATCCATTATTGCAAGTATGTAAAAAATCACTTCAAAGTATACTTAAGCCATACAAATTTATATATTTAGTTTTTATATAACTAACTGGCTTTTTATTAACTGCCAACTTAGATTTTAACTTTTTTTTAAAGAAATTTGTACTCCTTTAGTATAGGTGGATATATATAAATTATTACAAGATTATAATATATAAAATCTAACTAATTTGAACCAATTTAGATCCTAACCTTAATCCTGACTCTAATAATTTATAAAATTACTTAAATTAGTTCAAAATAGTTTTGTTATATATGTTATAATTGTATAATAATTATATATACCCACCTATACTAAAAATTCAACCTGAAATTTTTATAATAAAAAATTTATTTATGAATTTTATTGTCTTACTATACATGCCACCGAAATAGGTTTTCAAAAAACTTCTATTTCGTCTCTATTAGAGCAATTTTGAATTTTTTATATGCAATAGCAAATCTAATTTAGGTAGTTATGTTCATTATAATTTCTTCTCTTCAAAAAAAGTGTTAAAAAATTTCGTCTTTTAAGTAAAATAGGTCAAAAACAATTTTGTCTTCAAATTTTAATTTTGTACCCCAAAATCTAAAATAATTTTGTCAGTATGTATAGTTTCACACTGGGTATCTGATATATAAAAAATAATTTAATAAAGCAATACAACCTTATATTATTGGTCTTCATAACACCAACTAGCCTTTAGTAAGTAACAGATTTTAAAATTTTTATTGACATTCAGCAAAAATATCTAATAAACTAATTTTATATTCTAAAGAAATTTTAATAATCATATACATATGACCAGATTTGTATATTTACTGGCCATAAAAATGATCTTTCAATTCACTAAATTGAAAACATTTTGTGACTAAAGTAAAAAATCAGGTATGTAGCTGTATAATATAATTGCACTTAAGCAAAGAATGTAGTGTAATCACTAAACTTATATTAAGGATTCAAGTGTAGTAATAAACTATTTAATATTTGTAAAAATATTATATATCTAATTATCAATTATCTTATACAATCTATTTCAAAATATCATTAATATTGTTAATTGATTAATCTTGTAGTATATTGATATGTATGAAATTGAATAAAATTTGAATCAATTACTATATATACTATGTAGTCTAGGCATCTTGCATATAAAATATACAATACCCCTATAAAAAATTTGAAAAGCATAACCTAGCTTTTTCAAAATTATCATTCCATTATTGTTTCAGAAAATGCTTATTTTTCAGAACAAAACATATACAAATTCTTGATCATTTCTATAGAATTCTAGTAATTTTCATATAGAAATCAAATCTAAGTAAAATTTGGTTTCTACAAGTAATTTTTTGTACTTCATTACTATTAGAAGCCAGGCTTTGGTTTTTTCTTAAGATTTATTAGGATTCTATTGAAATGATTAAGAATTTGTGTTTTTTCTGAAAAATAAACATTTTTTAAATTAATAATAGAACAATAGTCTAGAAAATGATTATCATCTATATAATAAAATATATTAAAGCCAGTATCGAGTTATTTAAACCAGCCAGATCAGAATACTAAATGCAACAGTATACAATGAATTTATTTTTTATTTTTATTTTTTTTATTAAACTTTATTACAAATAGAAAAATAATTCTAAACCTAAAGATTTCTAACTACATTTGTGTTATATAAGACACCCAATGTGATATTACACCCCCTATTTCCTATAAAATGCTATAGTTAATTATTTCAAATTAATTTTTAGCTAGAATAGGTTGGATGAGACCTAAGGTGATAGTCATAGTATTAAGTAAAGCATGCAGTTAAAGCATATCCTTGTAAAAGCTATTTATTAATAAAAAGATTAATATCTAAAGGTTGTATTGTAATTTGAGAATTATTTGAAGAAATAAATGTATTTAGAAAATAAGATTTTGTACGTTTAGCTTTGGCAGTGATGTTTCGAGAGAGTTCCTATTGATGTTGATAGATGTTATGAATAGACCATAGTTCTTGCAGTACTAAGATAAGAGATTATTAGAGAGATTAATAAGAAAAAAGTCAGTATTTTTGTTGAGTAATGTTTTGATATTGTTGTATATAGTAGTTGAAAAGGTGCCAGTAATTGCATGTAATATAGAGAGGTAGTGTTAATTAAAAGAGCTGGCAGTAAAGTTTAGTAAGATGTTAAGAAGAGTATTAGAGAAATTGTTAGAAATTTGAAGGGTTGTTAGAGTTGTTTGAATTAAATTGATGAGTCTATGATAGAGATTGATATTATTATTCGGACAAATAAGTAGATGAAGAGTGTTTTCAGAGTTAGAACATCAAGAACATGTTGATATGTTGTAGAGATGAGAGTATCAAATATTAAGATTTTCCATAGTAGGAAGATTGTTTGTAAAGATTTTAATATGAAAAGAATATTTAAATGTATCATGTTCTAAGGATTTTAATATTTTGAAGTTTAGAGCCCATTTGATTTCTGGAATGTCTTTAGTGAACTTTAATGTAAACCATTTTGAATTGTAATAGTATTTTTAATAAAGGTACATATTTTAAAAGGTATTAGATGGTTATTCTATGAAAAGTGATTTGGAAGAAATGGGAAGGAAAATAAAATATTTGTTTGAGAGCATCTTCTTTTGGCAAGTAAGTCAGCCTGATTGTGATAAAAATTATTAGAGTGAGCTTTGACTTTGTGAAGTTGTATATTAATGTTTTTAGTATTCTTGAGATAATTTATAAAAAAGATAATATCCCAATTTTTGTTTTGTATAAGTTTGGTAGGAAGAGTAGATTGTAAGTTCTTGATTGCAGTTTTGTTGTCAATATAGATATTGATAGAGGAGTTGGATAGCAAAGCAAGAAGAAGACTAAAGATTGCCTCTAGTTCAATACAAGTAGAGTTAGGATATAAATGAGTATTAGCATTAAAGCAAATAGAGGCATGAGATTTGCAAACCCATCCTATATCAGTTTGAATATTTGGAAATTAGATATTTTTAATAGAGCCATCTATATAGAATTCTAAACTATTGTGATTAAGGTTATTTATAAGGTGAAAGAGTTAAATTAATTGATTTTAGTAGGTAGATGAATTTACTGTTTGTTGAATAAGTTGAACTTCATAAAAGGGTATATTTAATTGGGGTTGAGGTGGAAGAGTAGTTGGTACTAAAGAATAATTATTAATATGAATAAGAGCTAAAATTTCTTAATAATCAATTTGTAATTAATTATCATAAAACTTAAGTTGATTGTAAGAAAGTTTGAAAGAATAAAGAGTTGGTAAAGATGGTAATAAAGAGGAAGAAAGTGAAATAAGACCAGATGTTAAATTTGTAACTTTGTAGATATTGAGTTGTGTAAAATTAATTTGGTGAGAAAGATAAATTTGTTAATTATTTGTATAAGAAATTTGAAGGAATGAGGAAGGATTAGAAAGGAAAAATATAGATAGGAGGTCAATAGTATTAATAAAGGTATTTGTAGAAGGTAGATTAAGAGAAGGCCAAGTTGTAGATATA